GTAAAAAAAAAAAAGAAATTCTTGGAGGCTGATTTTGGTGGTATGGTTGGGAAAACTGCAAGATGTTTTGTGCTGTAGTTGCACAAAATTTAAGACAAAGTTGGGGACAATAATCATTGAAGAGTGGTTTGGGATTATAGTTTGGAGGGTGTTGTCACTGGACCAAGGAAAGGTAGTTAGGGGATTTTTAGAGGCAGAGTTTGGGGCTGTTTGAAGGAGAATTTTAGAGATGAGGCTTATAGTCATTGGAGAGTAGTTAGGGAGTAGGTTTGGATAGATATTTCTTTGTTTGTTTTGTTTTTGTTTTTTGTTTTTTTGAAACAGGGTCTCAGCCAGGCATGGTAGTGTACCCCTGTAATTCCAGCACTCCAGAGGCTGAGGCAGGAGGATCGTTGCAAGTTTGAGACCAGCCTAGGCTACAAAGTGAGCTCAAGGCCAGCCTGAACTGCACAGGAAGATCTTGTCTCAAAAAGACAAAACAAACAAACAAACAAACAAACAGGGTCTCAATATGTAGCCCAGGCTGGCCTCAACCTTGTGGCAATCCTCCTGCCTCTGCCTCCTGAGTGCTGGGATAGGTTTGAGTATTATTGAAAGGGCACTTTGGAGATACTCTTGGAGGGTTATTTTGTTTTGTTTTGCTTTGTTTTGTTTTGAGACAGGGTTTCCCTATGTAGTTCAGCCTGGCCTTGAACTCACTATAGAGCTCAGCCTGGCCTCAAACTCACTTTAATCCTCCTGTCTCAGCCTCCCAAGCACTGGGAATATAGGCATGCACCACCTCACCTGGCTTGGAAGTTTTGAGTTGCATCTATTTTACAGCATGGATGAGTAGTTTGTTCATTTTGCTGTTGAATAGTAGTCTATCCAATTTTGGGCTTTTTTTGTACTGGATACTAGAAATTGAACCCAGGATTTTACAATGAACTACATCTCCAGCCTTGTTTTGAGGCAGAGTCTTCTCTTTAAGAGACAGAGTCTTCGGTGGAAGAGTTCAGTCATCAGTACCATAAAAAAAGAGGGTGAGAGAAAGAGATGAAGGAGTCTCACTGTATTTTCCAGATTGACCCCAAATTCTTGGGCTGAAGCAATCCTCTCACCTTAGCTTCCTGAGTATGTGGGACTACTGGCACGCACAACTGTGCCTTGCTTTCTTGGGTGGGGATAAAGAGTGTTTGAGGGTGTGGTGGGGGCTTTTGGAAGATGGCTTGGGGGTGAAAGTGATAATTAATAGTAGTTTAGTGATAATTTAAGATCAAAAGAATGGTTTGGGGGTACAGTTGAGAGCTGATGGGTATGGTCTGGAGGGCTACTTAAGAGTCTGCAGATTTTTTGTACTGGGAATCAAACTGAAGACCTCGTACTTGCTAGGCAGGTGCCTTGCCACTGAGCTTTACTCCTGGCCTAGGAGTCTGTTTTGAAGTCTGGATTTCAGAACGTTGTTGTGAGTTGTAGTTGGGGAGCCATTAATGACTGATTTGAGGAGCAGTTAAAAGATCATTTGAAGCCAGGTGCAGTGGCATGCATTTGTAATCCCAACTACTCAGGAGGCTGAGTCAGGAGGATTGCAAATTTGAGGTCAGTCTGGGCAATTTAGCAAGACTCTGCCTCAAAACAGGACTGGAGATGTAGTTTATTGTAAAATCCTTGGTTCAGTTTCTAGTATCCAGTACAAAAAAAGCCCAAAATTGGATAGACTACTATTCAACAACAAAATGAACAAACTACTCATCCATGCTATAAAATAGATGCATCTCAAAAACTTTATGATAAATGAAAAAAGACAGACGTTAAAATTTCACTTAGTTCATTCATATGAAATGTCCAGGACAGGCAAATCTATAGAGACAGGAAGTAGATTAGTGGTTGCCTAGGGCTGGGAGTGGAAATGGGGACTGTGTTTGGGCACAAGGGATCTCATTGAGATGATATAAATGCTCTACACTTGGATTACGGTGATTGGTGCATACTTTGGTAAATTTACTAAGTGAGCACACTTACAATGGGTGACTTTTATGGTATATAAATTGTACTACAATTAAAACGTCTTGGGGCTGGGGATTTAGCTCAGCGGCAAAAGCGCCTGCCTGGCAAGCGCAAGGTCGTGAGTTCGGTTCCCGGTACCGCAGAAAAACAAAAAAAAAACAAAAAACAAAAAAAAATAAAACGTCTTAAGAAGCGATCATTGGATGCCTGTACTCCCAGCATTCTGCGAGGCTGAGTAAACAGGATTGAAAGCTTGAGCCTGGCCTGGGCAATTTAGCTAGAGCCTGTCTCAAAATTTAAAAAAGGACTGGGAACACAAAGGCTTTGGGTTCAATGTCCAGTACCAAAAAGAAAAAAAAAAAATTAAAACATTTTAAAAAGAAAGCCAAGTGTGGTGACACATGTCTGTGATCCCAGCACTTGGGAGACTAAGGCAGGAGGATCATTGTGAGTTTGAGGCCAGCCTGGGCTATGTAGTAACTTCAAGATCAGCCTGAACTGTGTAGTGAAACTTTGTCTCAAAAAGTTTTTTCAACGCCGGGGATATAGCTCTGTGGCACAAGCGCCTGCTTGGCAAATGCAAGGTCCTGAGTTCGATTCCTGGTACCAAAAAAAAATTTCTTTTTAAAGGAAGAAAAGATATTGGACAGTGCTTTGTGGTCTGGGTTCCTGAGGCATTATTTGGCATGCACTTAAGTAGCATTGAGAGCTGGGCATGGTGGCACATACCTATAATCTCAGCACTTCGGAGGTTGACGCAGGAGGATTGCTGTGTGTTCAAGGCCAGCTTGGGCTACATAATGAGTTCAACGCCAGATTGAATTACAGAACAAGACACTGTCTGGGGGGGAAAAAAAGCCATTGAAAGACTTGGGAGACATTTGGGGCTACTGGAGTATGACTTGGGGGCCCCTGCAGAAAGATGGCGGGTGGTTATTTGGAGGCACAGCTGAGGACCATTTGGGAGTGTATCTTGGGTCAGTGGACTGTGGCTTGGAGGTGCAGAGCTTTGGGGGCCGTCTGAAGTGCAGCTGGGAGACCACACAAAGTGTAGTCTGCAGTATGTGGGGCAGTAATCAGGGCTGCTGGAAGGTCAGTGGGGTGTGGTGACGGCTGGTCACAGAGAATGGATTTGAGGTACAGGTGAGGTCCACTTCCAGGATAGTTGGGGTCACTGTGTTCGTACTTCCATGGTGGCTATCCTCATGCTGTAGGGTGCACTTCTCCTACTTTTACCTGGCCCAAACCCACTCTGCAGAGGCTGTTTCTTTTCCTCCCTTTAATAAAACTTTGCTATTGCTAAAAAAAAATAATAAAAAAATAAAAGGAGTGCTTGGGACTGTTTTGAGTAGTATTGAGGGATCACTTAGATAGCATCTTGGGGGCTGGGGGTATAGCTCAGCGGCACAGCGCCTGCCTGTCAAGCATAAGGTCGTGAGTTCAATTCCTGGTACCAAAAAAAAAAAAAAAAAA